AGTAGTGCGCCCAATAAATCTGTTCATGTTAAGGGCGTGCAGGTTCAGTGATGTGTATTAGTAACATTTTCGGGTATTTCACACCTCTCTCATTTATAAGGAGTTCTATTTGTAAAAATATTTTGTACCCGCAATCATTCGTTTTGTTACACAGACGAGTTTTGTATCATGAATCTGGAAGAAAACAGAAGGATCATTACATGAAATAATCAGTATTGTTGTATAGATGACGGATAGACATGTGCGATTCGTTTCGTTACGAATCGAAATTCGTACGCATTTTCCTGAAATTCGTAAATTCGGAAGCATCCGAAATCCCAATGGCAGTTTCCGAATTATATCCGAAATACGAAATTCCGTTAACGAATTTCGGATCCGAATTTCTTTGAAACGGGAACTAATATTACCCCTGTAAATGAGGTTGAACAACATGACAAAATTTATTTTTTTAATCCGAGATACGGATCCGCTGCTGCTGAGAGTCGCATTACAATACACAGGCAGGAAATACGAAATTCCGTTGACGTATTTTCGTTCCGTTACGAACATTCGATATATTGAAGTTAAAAAGCAAAGTGCATTTATATTGGAGTTGATGGTAGTTTTTTTTAAGTCCGAAATACGAAATTCGGATCCGTATTTTTGCTTTTTAACTTCATCATAACGAATGTTCGTAAAGTTACGAAAATGTGCCGAAACTAACGAAAATCCGTATTTCGTACGAATCCGAATTGAGTTTCGGTTACGAATGACGAAATACGAAATAACGGATATTCCGAAACGGAACTAATTTTTTGACAGCGCACAAGTCTAATGACGGACAGATTGCGAGGTATGTGTGTTATGAGTTCAGTGGGAGGTCCTTCATTTGTGTATAAAGACTATGACATCATCAACCCTCTAACCCCTGATGAAGTCCTTTAGGATGAAACGCGTAGGTAAGAGTCTAAAGGTTTGCTGTTGGTAGTCTTGCCTGTGGTGTCCATACTGTGGAGACTCTTTGCTGTATACAATGAGGCTTTTGTGGTTTTATACATGGAATTTTAATGCTGGAATCCCATTTTTTTAAAAACAAAGCAACCATATGGTATTTGCATTATCTTGAGCTTCCTTCTATGATACCGCTGATGATTTTTCTACATTGGAGCGACTCTCCAGAGTAAGCAAGATACTGATCACTGGGGGAGGGGAGACTGAGGAAATGCTTCCTCCTGCCTGCAGCAGACTGATCACTGGGGGAGGGGAGACTGAGGAAATGCTTCCTCCTGCCTGCAGGGGACTGATAACTGGGGGAGGGGAGACTGAGGAAATGCTTCCTCCTGCCTGCAGCAGACTCATGACATCATCTCAGCCTAGGCACAGTCACAGACTGGAGCTTAAGCATGACTTTTTTTTATATTCTTTATTTGTAAGCACAAGGGTATGATACAGAAGACAGAGATCCATTGGCCCGGAGGCTGCATATATGTACATAACAGCAACAAAATCAACCAAACTAGCATAGCCGTTACCGGGCTGGTGCAGTCTCAGCCATCTTGCACCTCGGATCTGTCCATCACTCCGAACCACAGCCCTTTAGACTTTTTATATATATAGTCAAAACACATATACATATATGATTAAGGAATACACATAAGACCAGATATACAGAAGACATAACATAACACAAAAAAACAGAGGCGACAAAATGCTCGGCTCGAGACTCCAACCAGCGGTCGCCCACCCTCTCGCTCCTCCACACGACCCAACGCCCAGTGTCGCATCACCGCCCCCTGGGCTTTGACATTGCCCGAAGGTCATTCCTGACAAAGCTGTGCGCATTCTGGAGAATCCCTAAATTGGTACCATCCCGCCCAGGTCGCCACGAACTTGTGTGGGGATCTGCGCATCGTGGAAGTCAGATCCTCCATCAATTTGATTTCCTCCATCCCACTCACCCACATCCCCACTGACGGTGGTCGGGTCTGTCTCCACAGGGCTGGGACACAGGCCCGAGCAGCATTGAGCATGTGAATCAGTAGAGAACGCTGATAAGCTTTCCGTGAAATTGGGGCCAGGTGAAAGAGGTATACAGCGGGTGTGAACGGTATTGACAGGCCTGTAATCTTCGTCACCAGGTCTGCAATTTGGGACCAGAAGGCTGCAACCCCGGAACATAAGCATGACTTTTAATGATGAAAGGTGATACTCTTCTGAATAATTATGCTATATTATTAGAATTTGTAACATGTCAGGGGTGAATGTATGCTCTAAATTGCTGGGAAGCCAGTTCTAAGTGGTGGACATTACTCTCCAATAAAGTAAACTCCATGACCACCAACGCAGAGCAGATGGGTCCATGTCAATGATGGGTTCATGGAAGGCTCTTGGAATGGTTTCCTCGGATGGACTGAAGGCTTTTCCTCTGGGATGGTGTCCGTGTTTCGGTCAACCATCTTACGATTGGAGGTGCCAAGTTCTCCTCCAGGACGGACTGATGCAATGAACTGCGTGGGATGCTCAAGGCCTGCATAGTGTCATGTGACTGAGATATGTCCGTCTTCCAAAATCATTATACGGAGACGGTCCTCTCCAGAGGCGTTTAAGGTAAAGCCATCACCTTTCCTGTTCCCCTCCAGCTGATCTGGCCAATGTTCGCCCTTTACAGCCAAAGCCACAACCTCACGCTGCATTCCCTTCCCCTTCTCCTGTCTCTGGGGCTCTTTTCTCCCCCCATAATTTTTTTATAGGATTAAAGTCTGGAGCCTGGCTAGGCCACTCCATGACCTTAATGTGCTTCTTCTTGAGCCACTGCTTTGTTGCCTTGGCAGTATGCTTTGGGTCATTGCCATGCTGAAAGACCCATCCACGACCCATCTTCAGTGTTCTGGCTGAGGAAAGGAGGTTCTCATGCTCATCTCGTCCATTGGCCCCTCAATGCGGCAAAGTCGGCCTGTACCTTTAGCAGAGAAACAACCCCAAAGCATAATGTTTCCACCTCCAGGCCGGACTGTAGGGACGGTGTTCTTGGGGTCATAGTCAGCATTTTTCTTCCTCCAAACACGGCGAGTCGAGTTCATGCCAAAGAGCTGAATTGTAGTCTCATCTGACCGCAGCACTTTCTCCCAATCCTTCTCTGAATCATTTAGATGTTCATTGGCAAACTTGAGACGTGCCTGTACATGGGCCTTGCTGAGGAGGGGGACGGGCCAGTACATGGGCCTTCCTGAGGAGGGGGACGGGCCTGTCACGGGTCTGTACATGGGCCTTCCTGAGGAGGGGGGACAGACCTGTACATGGGCCTTCCTGAGGAGGGGGACGGGCCTGTACATGGGCCTTCCTGAGGAGGGGGACCTTGCTGGCGCTGCAGGAGCTCAATCCATGGCGGTGTATTGTCTTACCAATGGTTTGTTTGGTGACTGTGGTCCCAACTGACCTGAGATCATTCACAAGCTCCTCCCGTGTAGTTCTGGGCAGATCCCTCACTTTTCTCATCCTCACCCCATGAGGCGAAATTTTGCATGGAGCTCCAGACCGGGGGCGATTGATGGATATTTTGTATTCCTCCCATTTGGGAATAATCGCTCCAACAGTTGTTTCCTTCTCACCGAGTTTCTTGCTGATCGTCTTGTAGCCCATTCCAGCCTCGTGCAAGTCTACAATCTTGTCCCCGACGTCCTCTGACAGCTCTTTGGTCTTGCCCCTGGTGGTGAGGTTTGAATGGAAGAAAGAGATTCTGTAGGACAGGTGTCTTTTATATACATAACGAGCAGGCCCGGCGCTACCGCAAGGCAAGGCAAGCGGCCACCTGAGGGTGCTGCAGGGTGAGGGCGGAAAAAAACAGGGCATTTTGACAAGTACTTGTACTTGTCAAAATGCCCTGATGCTTGCGCTATGTTTGGGGGTCGGGTCGGGTCGGGGGGGGGGCGCAAAAATGCAACTTTGCTTGTCTAGGCAAAAATCCTAGCACCGGCCCTGATAACGAGTTGTTGTTAGGAGCACCTTCTTAAAGTTACATAGTTACATAGTATTTGAGGTTGAATAAAGACATTAGTCCATCAAGTCCAACCTATTAGGATCTCATTCTAGGAGTACCTGTACCCCTGTATATTACGGTCCCTTAAGAAATCGTCCAAAAGTTTCTTGAACAATTCCACATTATTTGCTGAAATCACCGCCTGTGGCAGTGAGTTCCAGACCCTAACTGATCTTACTGTGAAGAACCCCCTTCGCCCCTTGTGCTGGAATTTTTTTTCCACCAATTTTAGGTGATGGCCTCTAGTTTTTGTAACGGAGTTAATTTTAAACAGTTTATCGCTAATGTTGCTACCACCATTAAACATTTTGTACATGGAAATCATATCCCCCCTTAATCTCCTCACCTCTAATGTGAACATGTTTAAATTTAGTAGCCTCGTCTCGTAGCTCTGGTCCTCCATACCCCTAATTAGTTTGGTTGCCCTTCGCTGGACTTTTTCCAACTCAAGGACATCTTTTCTTAGTACTGGTGACCAGAACTGGACCGCGTACTCCAGATGAGGTCGAACCAATGATCTATAAAGTGGCAAAATTATAGACTTGTCCCTGCAATACATCCCCTTTTTAATACAGGACAAGACCCTGCTAGCTTTGTTTACAGCAGCCTGGCACTGCAAACTACCTTTCAGTTTGTGGTCTACAATGACCCCCAAATCCTTCTCCATTTCTTTCTCCAAAGTGACAGCACTCATCTGTGTACCACATGGTCAGTCTGTGGGAGGAGCCAGAATTATTGTTGGTTGGTAGGGGATCAAATACTTATTTTACTCACTGAACTGCAACTCCATTTATAACATTTGTATCATGTGTGATTTTTCTGGATTTTTGGTGGATATTTTGTCTCAATCTTTTAAAATACACCGATGATAAAAACTTATAGACCTTTCCTTTCTTTGTAAGTGGGCAAATTTGCAAAATCTGCAGGTCATTTTAATGGGAAAATGGAAAAATATTCCAGTGCACACTGACTTTATTGGAAACACATGGCTGTAATATCATCTGGAGGCTTCCAGAGGAAAAACATGGAAACCGTGGTGTCGAGGGATCGCCCGTACGGAGGTGAAACAGATCAGGATCTGGCAGGCAGCGGCGTTCCGGCAACAACACTGAAAGTGACACGGAACAGATGCCAGTCCCAGGGGCACCGAGGCTGAATCGCCTGTTGAACGGTTCCTGGGAGGTGTAATGTGTGCCGGGTTGAGGAAGTCGGCCATTCGTAGCTAATTGGAGGTGGGCAAAGGTCATCGGTGCTGACCCCATCAATTGAGGAAGTGGGTGAGTGGAAACCCCCTGACGCGGCCCTGACACCTTCACTATTGGTGGATGTGATCTGGATTGTTTGTGACCGATGAAAGCCGGGCCGAGGTGGAATCCATTCCATGGTCAGTCTAATGAGAGAGAGAGAGAGAATGGAGAGAGGGAGGGAGAGAGAGAGAGAGAGAGAGAGAGGGAGGGA